CTGAGTATTTGAGAAACTGCTGATCTGCTGGGATTTACAGGCATAACCACTAGTGAGCAGCAGTTCTGTGCGCAAATGCCTTGTTGATGCCAGAGGTCAGAGGAAAATGGCCAGACTGGTTCCAGCTGATAGAAAGGCAACAGTAACTCAAATAAGCACTCGTTACAATGGGGGTCAGCAGAAGAGCATCTCTGAATGCACAGCAGATTCAACCTCAAGGCGGATGGGCTACAGCAGCAGAAGACCAAACCAGGTGCCACTCCTGTCAGCTAAGAACAGGAAACTGAGGCTACAATTCACACATGCTTACCAAAATTGGACAATAAAAGATTGGAAAAATGTTACCTGGCAATGTTACGTAAATGACATTCAAATGGTAGGGTCAGAGTTTGGCGTCAACATGATGAAAGCATGGATCCTGCCTTATATCAACGGTTCAGGCTGGTGGTGATGGTGTAATGGTGTGGGGGATATTTTCTTGGCACACTTTGGGCCCATTAGTACCAATTGAGCATTGTGTCAACGCCACATCCTTCCTGAGTATTGTTTGCTCACCTTATCCATAACTTTATAACCACAGTGTACCCATCCTCTGATGGCTACTTGCAGTAGGATAACGTACCATGTCATAAAGCGTAAACCATCTCAGACTGATTTCTTGAACATGACGATGAGTTCGCTGTACTCAAATGGCATCCACAGTCACCAGATCTCAATCCAATAGAGCACCTTTGGGATGTGGTGGAATGAGGGATTCGCATCATAGATGTGCAGCAGACAAACCTGCAGCAACTGTGTGATGCTATCATGTCAATATGGAGCAAAATCTCTGAGCAATATTTCCAGTAGCTTGTTGAATCTAAGCCATGTTCTAAAGGTCCAACCCAGCACTAGTAAGGTGTACCTAATAAAGTGGCCAGTTTCTGGAACAAAACCAAACATTTGCACAAGCAACAAATACCTCTCATTCTACTGATTGGTTGATTTATTGATTGATTGATTGATTGATTGATGTGTAGATATATATTTTTGTATGTGTAATTATTTGTTTTTTTACTTTACCCAATGTAAAACTACCATCTTTACTAGGGGAAATTAATGATCCTTTTTACAAAAAAATAATAATAATTCAATGGCATTGCTGTGAAAACCCCTTTTTATACCATTTATACCATATACTGAAAAAAAGAAATGTTTTTTCCTAATAGGTTTTGTGTGCAGGTGAAAGAAAACCCCACATTTATATGGATCCATGACTAAAATACTGTAATATGGATGCCAGGCCAGTAGCAGGTGAATAAAAGGTATCAAAGTCCATCATTGTTATTTTGGTTCCCAAAAACTCGCTCATGCTTATACACTGACCACATGACACATCCGCTCAAGTCAACACCATTTTCACACATTCAGGTTTCTGTCGTTAACTCTGAAATGAAAACATAAGCTGGGTTTCCATTCCAACATGAAGCAAAATTTTCAGCAAAAAAAACAACAACAACAAAAATCCCAAATTCTAATTAGGTACGTTTCTATCAAGTTGTTAGAGTGGCTGACTGTAGTATTGGTAACCTAGCAACCAACTGTAAACAAAGCAAGCATAATAGAGACAGCTGATTGGCCTTGTGGGTGTAATGTTTGTGACATCAGAGTGTATTTAGCACATGTGTTTCCATCTTACTAGCATTAACTCCTTTTACCAAGTCCAAAACCACCTCAAGAGAGATTTTTGGGAGGGAATTAAGGCATTTTAATTCAAAATGTGGTGTTTCCACCACTCGTTTCTCATGCAATAGTTAAACGTGCATAAACACAAGCTGATGAAAACCCAGCTAGTCAAAAACATGCACCTAAAAGCTGTTTTCAGGCTCCTAAAATGCTGTTGTTGTGTAAACAAATGCTCAAAAAGCCCCCAATGTCTTCCGTTTTTAGTTTAATGCAAGTTCTTTGTCTAACTGTAAATGATTCATACGGTTTTAAACCTGGGCCACAGCCTCCGCCAATCAATTCCCAGCGGATAAAGTCCCGCTCTACATTCTTCCACTCACAGAATATCCTGATTCACTCAGAAACACCTCGCATTAAGGAAGCAAAAAAAATGGGTTGCGTTTCCATAAGCGCACCGCAAAGCTGAGGGTCAAAACAGCAACCGCAGGTGAACCAGAAGAAAAGCCATAATTAATATGCATACAGACCCTGATTAATTGGTAGATTCATTGGTCCAAATAAGGCACATGCTGCACATATCTCATCAAACTTCCATTTAATGGAAACTGTGTTTGAAGGGTTGTAGATGTGAATGAGAATTACAGCAGCGGGACACGAACAGAAAAATAATCTGCGGATATTATTTCATCACACACATTCCCTGTCATCTCAACCTGGAGATGAGAGTGACACAGATACAAACGGTCACCCGGCGCTCCTTCGTATTTAAAGAAAACACTCTGTTGCCATATTTACACTGAAAAATAAGATGCAATATTATTATTATTATTATTATTAATCACATTCTGGAAATCTCTGAAGATAGATACACATTTACATATTAACACCCATACTCTGCATAGTGCTCTAAATATCACAAGATACATATTCCTTCTTGGTCTAGTACGTCTGTGTGCAATAAAAGATGCCGCCTAGCTAGGGGGTGCGTGATGTTGATTTAAAATATCTAACGTATAATTATTAAGATGATGATAATTCAACATTCTGATGAGTGTGTTTTCGTGCTCGTACATTTAGGTTTAGGTCATGGTTTGAGAGGTGCAGTAGGTGACTGTCTTCAGAAACATCTTTGTTATGCTGGTTAAAAGTCTCTTCACATTTCAATACTACTGATTAAAGTAAATGATCTAAATGTGTTAATATGTATTCTTATATTCTGGGTGAGGCATAAGACTAAAAATGTTCATCAATTAAATATTGACAATTCCCATTATTCTGATAAGTAGCCCAAACTGTCTGTCAGCAAATGTAGATTTGTACATCTGTGGACCCGTTCACGCAGATCCGCCGCGTTCATGACGTGCACACGAGAGAGTGACAGTGGTAAAAACAAAAGCTGAATCAAAACTTTTTAAAATCCTAAATGATTATTGGGGTTGATTTTGCATGCTGGAGGAAAAACGACACCATGGCTGAAGTATTTCTTTTAGACAGGTATTGTTATGTATTAAAACTATTTTAGTCACGTAGAGCTGATGTAGATTGTGTTGTGTTACAAATGGGTTATATGCACAGAAGTGTTGTTCAGCCACTGAAATCTTCCAGTGAAAGATTGAGAGTGTGAGACCGGCGATCCTTGCATGCATGAAATATTGCACATAATGTCAAGTTTTGCTTGCTACAACTGAAAACGTGCTAGATATAATACAGTTTTTGATGGTAATTGTAGTATTATAAAGTACTATATAGTTTTCTAACTGGTTCTCAACCGGTGGGTCACGGCAATACTGCAGGTGGTTCACGAGATTAACTCTCAATATTATACTATCATTTTTGGATTTCATTGCTAATATGCTAAATGAAATGATCTAAGTAATGCGTCTTCTCCTTTTCTCTGATTACTTCAAACTCAGCACAAAAACAGCCTTATTATCGCGTCTGCATCTACTACAAGTAAGTCTGTTCATTCACAAACTATGCATGAAGTTAAAGTGAAAGTCTCTCTTTAAGTATTTTTGTGTAAACTATTTAATATATCCACATAGTTGTCTAAATTAAGGTCCTGTGATTGTTTTATAATGGATGCGCGCTCATACAGGAGGATCTAGCCAGGCTCAGTGGTGTTTCTGCCATGAATGTAAAATAAACTTGCACATGAGCTTCAGACGCGCTCTGGCGGAGCTGTTCCCTGTTCCTGTCAGCGATCTCCCAATAATATCCTGCAAACTCAACCGCTACCAGATGGATGCGTTTTAACAGATTTAGGGTGTTTTACTGTATTTTACATTTGTCTGTATATTTTTGAGTAGTAGATTTTTAATAGTAGATATTCAGTCAGTCCAGTTTAAAGCAGAAGCTAGCCTTTTACAATCTCCCTGTTGACCTGTGGGTCTTGAAATCAGAATTATTAGCTCTCCAAAATTATTAGCTCCCCTGTTTATTTTCCAACAATTTCTGTTTAACGGAGAGAAGATTTTCTCAACAAATTTCTAAACTAGTTTTAACAATTCATTTCAAATAATATTGAACTACATATTTTTCAAGACATTTCTGTTCAGCTTAAATTGACATTTAAAGGCTTAACAAGATTAATTAGGTTAACTAGTCAGGTTAGGGTAATTAGGCAAGTCATTGTATAATGATGGTTTGTTCTGTAAACTATCGAAATAAAATATAACTTAAAGGGGCTAATAATTTTGACCTTAAATTGTGTTGAAAAAATTCAAAACTGCTTTTATTCTAGCCGAAATAAAACAAACAAGACTTTCTCCAGAAGAAAAAATATTATCAGACATACTGTGAAAATTTCCTTGCTCTGTTAAACATAATTTGGGAAATATATATATATATAGGGGGTTAATATAATATTTCTGACTTCAACTGTCAGGGGGGCCTTCAACATTTGATCAAACAAAGTAATGGGGCCCGATGTGAGAAAGGTTGAGAACCCCTGATTCAGTGCGTTGTCTACTGTCATCCTTATGGTGTGAGTTTGTGATTTCAGGAGGCGTGGCTTTGGGTGGCAGGAGAGGGACTGTGTTTCAAAAATATTATGCTAACGCATAGCATTTTGGCAGATCACCTACTGCACCTTTAAATATGCTACTAAAACCACCAGTAGGTGGCGACAAATCCAAGCTTGAATGAGTGATTCATTGAATGATGCAAGCGTCTATCTTAATGAATCGTTGGCTAAAATTATTATTTCAAAAACAGATTCATTCTGGAATAAAATGCATAAAGACATCTTATAGATGTAGAAAAAAAAAAAAAAAAAAAAAAAAAAATATATATATATATATATATATATATATATATATATATTTTTTTTTTTTCTGATGAATAATACTGGCTTTTTAAACTTTAAGATGAATGTTATGTAAGCTCACACATCGTGAAAACAATCATTATGATATCGCACACCCCTACGGCTAATGTTACATAGCAAAAAAAAAAAAAAGCACCCTGACACTGCAGATTAAACGTAAACCGTTGAAAGCTTTAACAATTCTGGGATATATTTTCACTGCAAGCCATCAAGGTATATTGTTGTATGTCTATAATTCATAATTAGCTTCACCAATAGTACCGAACAAACATAAGCAGTGTTTCAGTAACACACGAGGATCGTTTTGGTCAGATTACACATTCGACGATGACAATTTTGGGCTAATGCTTCATGTTAGGCATTACCAGATAGCAAGATTATTGCACATATAGCAGGATTATGTCACGTTATAAAACATCTCAGGCTTCTTTGATGGCCACAGACATAGAAAGACTCCTCGCTTGCTTCCTTTCCAGCTTTCCTCAGTGATGAAGTGCTTCTTTCTCCGGGCCTTTTTTTCTGTATTTCTTTTTTGGTTGGTTCTTGATTTTTGGATTGCAGGGCAAAGTGTTCTGCCTTCAAACCCACATCTACTGACTAATGATGAGGGATGTTTGAGTAGGTCTGTCTGCTTGCCCCGGGCCCAAAGGAAAAAAATATGCAAAAGAAACGTTAAAAAAAAAGAATAGGGGGAATAGCAGAGAGAGAGCCCGTCTGGAGGAGGCGCGTATGTCCTAATCGGCGTATATAATAAAACCAGAGAAGGTGCTGTACTTGTTGTTGTTGCCGCCATGGGCTTTTCCTCCATCTAGTTTGATGTAGACTTCATCTCCAGGCTCCAGGTGAAGGATGGCACTGTTGCTGGCGTAGTCGTAGTTTTGATCTGCGTCCTGGGCGATGGCACTGGCACGCACCTGCGGGACGAGACAACTACATTTAGTGCATCGTTCCAGCTGTATATATACACACATACATTTATATATATATATATACATCTATATATATATATATATATATATATATATATATATATATATATATATATAAAAGATATATTCACAAACCTTTGATGTCAATGAAAACTGCAGAATTGCTTCAAGGTATTAAAATATATGGCAACACTGCAGAAACTTTAGTTTTTCATTAGTATTTTGTTGCAGGATTTTCAAATTTTATATATTTATTTAGAAAAATGTTATTATGTATATACATATATATAAAATATATTCATTTTAATTTAGTTCAACTAAAACAACTACACCTTTTAAATAATTAAAAAACTAATTACAATCAACAAAAACCAAGATATGTATTAAAAAGACTAATCCAAACTATTAATAATTACTAGCTACAGTAGATACTAACATATAAATTGTGACCATTCATTTTCATTTATGCTGGTGTGATTTAATGCAAGTCATGTGAGCAAAAACTCTTTAAATGACTGTTCTTAATAATCTGTCATGCTGGATGCTGCTCCTGCATGAGGCATGCAATGTTTCTTTGACTCGCTCAAGCTGTTGCATCTATTAACACAGTATATTTAAGTTTTTAATTTAGGTGTGAATACAGGTGTGAAGTCATTCATTTTCACCTTGTGAGACTGCGCCCAGTGCAGACTTCATTTTAATCACTCCAAAAACCCAAAGCAAATTTCAAATTTAAGGCTTTCGATGACAACTATCTTTATTAGACAATGCAGTTCTTTCTTTTTGTTTAGTAAAAGCTGAGTGACCTAAATGTTTAGAAAAACATAAGCATTTATCCATAACATCTGGATGAAAGATACTATCATTTATCAAAGAAGACATCAAAATTAGTCGAATGCTTTCTTATTGATTAGGTTTGACTGGCATATTTAAACTGTAGTAGTTTTATTAATTAATTATAATTATATAAATCTTACAAAAAACACTTAATTCTATTCATATTTCATTGATTATTAATAACAATAACAGACGTTTCCATTATGAATAATTTTCACTACTTATGATGGTTTGATCTATGTATTTTATATTAAGGAACAACGCCTACAAGAAGGCATAAATCATGGATGAATATAACTCAGGAAATATTTAACGTGATTTTCTGGGGCTGCAAACAAACTTTTTAAATGTGGTTAGGTGAAACAAAAAATATTTTTTTTCAAAATTGAATATTTTTCTTAAATAAACAAATAGCATTTTAGAAAGAAAAAGGAAAGGAAATAAAAGAAAGAAAGTCTTACAGGTTTAGTAGGTCAATAATATTTTTCAGTGTATTTAGTTGCGTGCGCGCGCGCGCGCGTTCTCACCTGCTGGTTCTTACACAGATCAGCCCACATGCTGGTTCCGTCTCCTCCGCGCATCAGCACATGGTAGGTAAAGTAGTATATTCCCGGTATGGAGCAGGTGAATTTGCCCGTGGTAGGGTCGTAATGATTCCCGAGATTCGTGACCACGTCGTCAAACTTAAGCAGCTCGTAGCCCTCGTGCTGCTTTTTGAGCCCTGCGTAAAAGGCGATTTTGGGCACGGTGCTGTAGGTGGCCGCGCTGATGGCGCCGGTGGCCAGGTTTGGTCCCGGCTGTCCTGGTAATCCAGGTCGACCCGGGTCCCCTCTCTCTCCGGGAGGTCCAGGGGGTCCAGGTGGTCCGGGTTCACCAGGAGGGCCCCTCGGCCCCGCTTTCCCAGGGCGTCCTGGTTCACCTTTCGGACCCTGTATAAAAGTTGGTAAAGACTGCATAAGGTTGCTGTCCCGCACCGGGTCTGCTGAGACCGTGCTGGTTGGTGATTTGGTACCGTACGGATCGCAAACCATCCTGCAGGTGCCGAGCATCTCATAGTGAGCAGCGGATGACCCGGCAGAGCTCACCAAAACCGGGATGAGGATGACCAGCACCAGGACCATGACCACACCGAGCACCCCCGCCGCGATCAGCCGCTTCCTGCCGACGAGTCGCGTCAGCACCGGCCGATCCTCCTGTCTGCTTTTGGGCGAAATTTTGAAGGTTGGCGAGGGACCCTACAGATGAGAAAAAAAAAGTCCGATTGGTTTTGTTAATGAACTTTTGGCTCGGTCCCCAACAGTCCCTTTCTCTCTCTCTCTCTCTCTTTTTTTCCTCCACTTCTTGTTCTTATTTCTCAGTGAAGTTGTTTAGTGCTGATGTCTGCTCTCTCTCAGCCGCGCTTCAGCATCTCTCAGTCTCCGTCTCTCCACATGTGGACGCGCAAAGATAAACTCCACTGGCGGACGCGCACTGATCCGCGCAAGCAGCCTGGTGTCTTTCCCCTCGCTTTTCAAGTGTTTCCTCTGCGCACAGAAGACTGGATGAGCAGAATAAAGGCGCATGTGATGAAGATTTGGAGAAGTGAGCGCTCTGCGTGAGTGTGAGGACACCAGAGGAAAGAGGGAGGGAAAGATCCAGCGATGCCTTATAAAAATCACAGACACATCTGCGCACCACAGACGAGACAAAAGCCACTTAAAACCAAAACTATCGCACACAGTTGAAATAGAGCAGGAAAGTTTACACACCTTGATACTATCTTTTTAAAGTAGAAACAGCTCCATAAGCTGATTTAATCCATTATAAACTACCTAAAGATGTATTTAATCAACATTACCATTAACATAACTATATCAAATGCCCATTTTAGGTAGTAAAAATGTAAAATCTGACCAAAAATACAATATAAAGAAATATACAATTTTACACAAAATATTAATAGTTAATCTAAAACCCAAGTTTTAAAAATAGAAACTGTAAACAATTGCAATATGGTTTTTCACTTTAATGAATTCAGAGCAAATTATGATTGCATTCTCATAATAAAAAAACAAATCTACACTTCAAATGTTAATAATTTTCTTAAAATCAGCAAAGCAGTTTTATATACAGTTAAAACCAGAGTTATTAGCCCCCTTTGATTTTTTTTCTTTTTAAATATTTCCCAAATGATGTTTAGCAAGGGAATGTTCACAGTATGTCTGATAATATTTTTTCTTCTATTAAAAGTCTTACTTGTATTATTTCGGCTAGATTTCGGCTTATTTTCGGCTTTAAGGCCAAAATTATTAGCCCCTTTAAGCTATATATTTTTTGGATAGTCTACAGAACAAACCATCATTATACAATCACTTGCCTAATTACCCTAACCTGCTTAACCTAATTAACCTAGTTAAGCCTTTAAATGTCACTTTAAGCTGTATAGAAGTGTCCTGAGAAATATCTAGTCAAATATTATTTACTGTCTTCATGGCAATGATAAAATAAATCAGTTATTAGAATTGAGTTATTAAAACTATTATGTTTACAAATGTGTTGAAGAAATCTCTCCGTTAAACAAAAATTGGAGGAAAAAATAAATAGGGGGGCTAATAATTCAGGGTGTTCAATAATTTTTACTTCAACTGTATTTAATTGTACTTTTAAAATCTAAATAAGAATAACAAAATAAAAGTAGCACAACATATTATTAAATAAAAATTCAGTTTTGGGGGAATCGAAATAGCAATCACCTAAGTGTAATTTTATACACATTAAATACCTTCTAAACTACTTAAAATATAATATTAAAGTGTTTCATATACTATAATTAAAACATGACAAAATGTATGGGGAATCAAATTAGCAATCATTGAAAAGTAAAAACTTAAACACATTTTTGGTTGTTGTACTCAAGCAAAATTATAATTTTATAAACATTTAAGTATTTCTAAATGTTAGGAAAGTGTAAGCTATATCACTTTGTGGGATTATTTAACGCTTTAAAAATAAACTTTAATAAAATACAACTTATTTTCCCATAACCTAAACACGTTTCTTTAACGTCCAGATGTGCAATCCAAACTTTTGCATGTGAACTATCCCTTCTTAGTCAAGCTGACGTTCTAGGTCACCACACAGTAAAAAAACAAAACAAAATAACGACGCTATCGGAAATGTTTATTCACGTCTCCCTGAGAATGAGCTTTGAAGGCGACTGTGCGACATGTATGCCAATACTATAGACCTGCCAGTGATGCTCTGCCACTACAGCACGCAGGAACAAATCCTTCATTTAACTCCAATCTGCCAATCGACTACTCAATGCTCCCCCCACCAATTCAACAGGTTAGTTGCTCCGCCGATTGGCTAGTCGAACTAGTCACCACTGAATTCATTGTATTGTTCCGAGTTTTGACTCAGCAAAGGTGTTGAAGACACCCAATTATCTTCAGACAACACAATGGGCCACTATCCCTAGTCCGGCGTCTCTCGGACGACGCCAGCATGGGACCTGCTCTCCAGAGGAGTTTCCCTGGCCCCATAAATCACACAGCAAAAAAAATCAATGACCTCGGTTAGCGAGGGCCGTAATGCCCTTCAGCGTATGAGCTGCATAGAGAGTACGCCACCAGAAATCGTTCCAAACAGGGTGATAAAACCAACCAAAACAAACAAAAAAAAGTAATCAAGCCAAGCTAAAAATCGCTACGAGTCTGTAACTCAAAGCAGGGAAAAAGACATTCAAGGATTCATCTGAAAGGTCAGTGAGTAATTGTTGGCTGTGGTGATCCATCGGCGTTCGCACTCATTTTTAAACTTCAACGTCCCGCTTTCTATCGACGCTGGCAGAAGGATGGGACAAGCTCGGGTCGGGATCTGAAGAACCGAGGAAGAGATTGATCGTCTGAAGACTGTAATGAATGTCCAACAGTTTGCGAGGAAACTTTTAGAAACGCCAGCTCTCCCAATGCAAACTTTCAGACGTGGATGGAGAGCTTCAGGACTTCGCCGTGGACAGATGTTCATGCTGAGCACTTGAGGAAAGAGGAACGTGAACTGGACAGATGTGCCTGCTGAGAGTGTGAACATGGAGGACAGAGCGATGCACACATGGTGTCTGGACGGGGTAATAATAAAGTGAGCAGAATATTAGCGAAGAGAGAGAGACAGGGAATCCCACGTGGCCATCATAGACCTTCTGCGAACACAGCCCATCATCATCATCATCTGAAAGGTCAGCTCCTTTACCCCATGATCTGCCGTTCAGACCATGACGGGGCGTCCGATGGGAAGATTGTTTTTAGATGTGATGATGATCCTCCACAGCCGTGTCAGATCACACTCTGAGAATCAGCCATTCTGCTTCAGAACTTTCGTGGAAGTTGAACTTATTTTTAACTTGTGATGGTTGAACATTGACAAATTAGCAAATGTGTGCTGGAATGTGCTAGATTTTAAACTCGAGTAGATCAACGAAACCTGTTTCTGCACAGTGGAAAAATCACAAAGGCAACTTTCTTTCTTGCAAACTTACTACTAGCAATTCTTTGAAATAGTTGATCTTCTCGAAACAACTCATAAACACCTTGCAGTTCAGAACATTTTCTTAGAATTGCACATTTGTGACGTCGAGTTGCAAGAAAAAAGTGTGCAATTTTGAAAAACAATATTGTAAGTAGTTTTGTTGCAATACTTGATTTCAGTACCAATCGATACTGGACTTTTAATAACGTCCATTTCCCGCTAACATTTGATCGCTGTTGAGCATGTTCTTAAACTGCGCTGATTTGCCGTTGTGTTCATGTGCTCAACAGAAATGACTGTGATTTTTTTTTTTAATTGCACGATGTAAAAGATGATTTAAAAAAGATTGAAAAATCAAACAAATCCCAAACCTTTAAACAGTATTACGCCTGATTCAATCGAGGCGTCAATATCAATGCTTCCCATTTACTTTGAATGGGTGACGTCAAAAATTTGCCGGACTGAATTGTGGATTCGTCTGCACCACTTCCACTTTTTAAGCGCCAATGGAAGATGCAGCCAATCAGGGATGCGCTTCCCAAACAACAACATAACTTGTGACTGAACTATCATAGTACAATGCATCGTTTGGGAAAAGAACGATGTAGGGCCAATGTTTTATTTACAAACGTTATTGAGAATATTACATATTCTATTCTAAAACATAAAACCACTTAGCTAACACTCTAATCTCATATATAAATTCTACTAATTGTTAGGCTAATGGTTGTAATTTACAGTATAGGCTATTTATTAAGAAAATAAATCCTACCTTATAATGATAAATAATAATGATTATTATTATTTTTAATGATTAATTTATTTTTAATGTTATTATTATTATTATTAAGTAGGACATTTTGTTTTAAGTCTACCTTTACAATTTGACACATTCAAACCACTGCGTAAATCTTCTAACCAACAGGCTCATGTCATATATGCCTAAAGTAAAGATACATTTCCTACTAAATTACCTACTCTAAATTAAAAACATTAACATATGCTATATATATTTCTTTCACAAGCTTTGGAGACGTATTGTAAATTCAGCTTTTAACAAAATAGTTAATCTCTAGCTTTCGTCATGAACTACGGCTGCGTTCAGAATGGCATTTCAAAGTGCACTACGATGGAAGTGCAATTTACCAATCATTAAAACTGAATGTAAAAATACCTTGAAAGCAGATTACACCTAAAAGATGACTAAGATGACTTTAATGTTTTTTTATTTATTCCAAGTTTAAATGTTGGAACATTCTAAATGAATAGGGCATAGGGGGGAGGAATAGAACATAGCCAAGAACTATGCTTCTAACTACAGCTCTAGAGGTTTTGCGACACAGTTTGAGCATGTTCGTCGAAACGATGGATTTGGGAAACGCCAAATCAACGAGCTATCTTTAAAAAAATGAAACTTGTGACCTTAGTTGGCTAATGATGGTGTTTGGAAACACACCCCAGATCACTTTAAGCAAAACCTTAGCTCAGACTGTAGCTGATTGCGGACTAATTTCATTGGCTGACTCTGCTATGAGGATTGCGTCAGCCTCGATTTCAGACACGCCCTCAATGAAGCGTTGGCGCTGAAGCCCCATGGGAATCAGGCATTATACATTGTTGCCATTTCAGACAAATTGATGATGAAACAATAGCAGTACGGGGCATTGCAATGGCGCAGTGGGTATCCCTTTCACCTCACAGCAAGAAATTCACTGATTTGAGCCTCAGCTGGATCAGTTGGCATTTCTGTGTGGAGTTTGCATGTACTTCCCATGTTGGTGTGGGTTTCCTCTTGGTGCTCCGGTTTCCCCCACAAGTCCAAAGACATGCGGTATAGGTGAACTGAATAAGCTAAATTGTCCATAGTGTGTGTGTGTGTGTGTGTGTGTGTGAATGAGTGTGTATGGATGTTTACCAGTGATGGGTTGCAGCTGGAAGGGCATTCGCTGCATAAAACATTTGCAGGATAAGTTGGCGGTTCATTCCGCTGTGGCGACCCCTGATAAAGAATATGAAAAAATGAATGAAAAATAGGGGTAATGGTTCAACAAAATGCTGACTTTATTTCAATGTCAAAATTTCAATGTATAGCACAGTACATTGTGCACATCATAAAACATCTTCAAATATAACTCATTTAAACGTGATTGCAGTGAAACAGCTTGGGATCATTTAAAATACATATTGATAAAAAAAAGTAAAATTTCGAAATCAGCCAAGCTTTGTTAGTGTATGCAATATAAAGCTGTAGTGAACACAGAAAACACACTCCTTTGTTTTTGTGTTTACAAATATTGTGTAAAAAGCTGCACCGTCATGTTCACTTGTACACAATCAGAAACAATGACACCACCTGCGGTTCGTCGCGCCATCTTGTTGACCCTCTGGAATGGCGTTTCTCTGGGCTCACATCTCTGCTGTGTAGCATCTGAAACTCCAGCCATTCATATCTGTCATTAAGAGGCAGAGGAAGCAGTCGGCGGTGTCCCCTTAGAGACCCCCACACAATCCTGCACAGACGCCACTAAGACCACCACACTCCGGCTAAATCCCTGTACGCTCGCAAAATGCTCGTCACCGGCTCCCAAAAACTCACTGCTCTCCTCGTCTGGATGGTTGAACAGGACAACACTCCCGCCGGCTCTCAGGAGACGCGACTCACACGTGCTCAGAAGTCTGATTCAGGCCCAAAAACCAGCCTTAGAGTGGGCACAAGTGGCACTTCAAAGGCGTTGGATTAAAAAGGACACTTTTAAGAGTAATTCACATCCAGACAAACGTTGTACTTGTTATCTTTTGATGAGCACAGAAGAAATTTTGGAAAAATTTGGTATCTGAATGGTCTCCATTCACTTCTATGGTAAGGAAAAATTACTGTAGTAATCAATGGTGACCGACTGGAAGTCAGTGGTTAAAATCCTTCTTGAGTTCACCCAAAACAACACCAGTTATTCACTCTCACTTGACTTTCATTTATATTACGCACGCACGCACGCACGCACGCACACACACACACACACACACACACACACACACACACACACACACAAAGAAAATATATTTTAGAGGACTGTTAGAGATTAGCCCCTTTCACACATACAGATCTTTCTGTAAAATTACCGGCAATTTTCCCGAAAGGTCTGTATTTGTGAACAGGCCCTTTTTGAAAATATTATTTCCGGCTATTTTCCGGAAAGACAAGTTGTAACATTACCGGTAATTTGCTGGAATTCTGCTCTCTGTGTGAACACAGAAGGAAGATTGCCGGAAAGAGCGTGTTCACGTCTAGAACGTGTGATCTGAGATGTCTACTTCAGCCAATCAGAACATTCAGAAATAATGAAAATAAAAGCCTTTGAAAATTTTTCCGGACACATTCAGCTGCTAGATGTTGGTCAGGTTACGTTTCTATGTTCCTACTTAATGCCAACTGTGTAAAAAATATTGACGAAATGCTTATGATAAACCGCTTTTTGTTTACCTTCAAGCTCTGATGCTTGTGCACAAGTATCAGTTGGTGAGCGCCAGCACACACACACGTATTATGAACATCTCGACATGCGAAGTGTTCCTCCATATGTTATCATCGAAGTTGATAAAACTTATCCATCCACAAAGTTTGTAATGTAGTCAAATGTTTACAAATGCAAGCGCAGCATTTTTAAAGCTCATTTCTGGTTAATGATGTCAAAATTTAATGGTATTTTGGAATGGATGTGTGAACGGTCTTTTCCAGAAAAATGTGTGTACACCCCTTTTTTTAATTTACCAGTAAAATCGTTCCGTAAATTTTCCAGATATTTACCGGTATCACTGTGTGAAAGGGGCTATTGACTTCAGTAGGAAATAGAAATACAATGGAAGTCTATGGCTTCCATTTTCCAACATTCTTCAAAATATCTTGTTTTGGGTTCATCAGACAAAAAAAAAATAAATAAAAGATCTGGAACAAGTTAAGGATGAACGTTCATTTTTGGGTGAGCTGTCTCTTTAAATGCTTTAGGTGGGGTGGTTGTGCAATTGCAGGGATAGTTCTCCTAAAACTGAAAACTTACTCACTATTCACTTTGTATACAGTAACATTGACTTCATTACTAGGCAAAAATAAATACTGTGGAAGTCAATGGTTACCAGTTTCCTGCTTTTTTTTTTTTCAAAATGTCTTGTTTTGTGTTTAACCGAAGAAGGAAACTCATAAAGTTTCAAAATAAAAGGGAGAGTAAATGATGAGAGAATTTTCATTTTGGATGAACTAGCATTTAAAAAAAGGAGTTTACTTCAGTCATTATTTACTCATCCTCCACTTATTGCTTTCTGAATGATATTTTAGAATATTTTGATATCCAAATTCTTTTATAGGACAATTACTTTGGTATTTAATGGTGAAAATCAACTGGAATTATAAATCAATGGTGACCAGTCACCAGTCCTGGAAATGAATTACTCTTTTAAAGGCACCCAAAATACAAATGGACTCTGGTCACCCTCAAAGGGGTCTCAATCTTTTTTTTTCTTCTTTTTTTAAGAGGTATTTAAAAGAATGTGGAAACAAGTCACCATTGGCAATCACCGGTAAGATAAAGATATATGATGGAAGTCAATGGATAGTATTTTTCCAGCAGAATGCTCAATTTTTGGGTGAACTGTCACTTTAAATGTTTTAGATTGAACAGTTAAAAAAAATAGAGTTTATTTCCAAAATTTAAATTTCAGTCATTATTTACTTATCCTCCAGTTTTTATCTTCTGAACACAGAAAATAATTTGGATTTTTTTTTGTATCCAAACAATCAATGATCACCATTAACATAAACAGTAGGAAAAAAAATACTATCGCATTCAACAGTGAAAATCAGTTTAAATTGAAAGTCATAGTTCACTAGTCATTTCTGGAAGTAAACTACTTCTAAACTGATAAAAATGTACACACCATCTGCTCACCCTCAAACCTCACCACCAAAACTGTAGTACATTGTTTTATTCTGTTGAACACAAAAGAAGATATTTTGAAGAATGCGAAAACTGACAGCCATCAACTTTAAAAATAAGGAAAAAATGACTAATACTCAGTCAATGGCTACCATTTTCGAACATTCTTCAAAATATCTTAAATAATATAAATATAATAAATATAATTCAGTCATGATTTTCTTGTCTTCCGCTTGCACCAAACCTATTTTGAGATGTTTTCTTCTTCTATTGAACACAAAAGTAGATATTTAGAAAAATGTTGCAAACCAATCATTGACAGTCACCACTGACTTTCATAGCAGGGAAAAAATTACGCTATCTAATTAGTTAATAGTATTTTTTCCTACTATGGAAGTCAATAGTAACTATGTTGCTGATCAACCAGCTGACAGACACCATTGACTTCCATAGTAAAGGAAAACATACAGCTAACCAGATATTAGTCACCATTGACTTCAACAGTAGGGGAAAACATACTATGATGCTAACCAATCAGTTGATGGTCAATTAATTAATACTATCCAATCAAGTTATCAGTCACCATTGACTTCCACATTAGGGGAAAAACACTATGAAGCTAACCAATCAGTTGATAGTCACCATTGACTCCATAGTAAGGAAAAATACTATGAAGCTAACAAATTAGTTGATAGTCACCATTGACTTCCATAGAAGGAAAAAAAATACTATGATGCAAACCAATCAGTTGATAGTCACTCTTGACTTCCATAGTAGGGAAAAATTCTATGAAGCTAACCAATTAGTTGACAGTCACCATTGACTTCCATAGTAGGGGAAATATATGATGCAATACAATCAGTTACTAGTCACCACTGAATTCCATATTAGGGAAAGAAATACTATGATGCTAACCAATTAGTTGAAAGCCACCATTGACATCCAAAGTAGGGAAGAATTATGCTAACCAAACAGCTGAAAGCATCCATTGAGTTCCATAGTATGGGGAACAAAAATACCATGATGCTAAACGGTTGATAGTATTTTATTCCCTACTATGGAAGTCAATGTTCACTATGATGCTAACCAATCAGTTGATAGTCACCATTGACTTCTGTAGTAGGGAAACAATTATTATGCTAACCAATCAGTTGATAGTCACTATTGAGTTTCATAGTATTTTTTTCCTTATTATGGAAGTCAATGGTGACCAGTTATTCTGGAAGTGAACTACATCATTAAATGTTTTAGGCAGGGTGGTTAGGTAATACTGAAGCAATACAAAAAACAAAAGAACAATAAATATGAACTGAAGAAGGCACATGCATGGACGTTGCATTGATCTCAGATCAGCTCCTGGTCTTCACTTGTTCTTGGCCGCCAGCGGCTTGCGGCTGATCTTCTTGGATTTGTCGGCATTTTTTTTGGGTGCCTCTGGATTGGCCTGCATGTGTCGCCCGTACAGACTGCAAAACACAAACAGACATTGTGAGATCACACCTGGCCGCTTGTAGGCTCTTCAAAAGGCCTTGAATGCAGAGCGCTCGAGGAAGGGGACTTATATTTTTAGTGTTAACCAGCTGAAAGAGGATTAATTGAGTCAAATGCACTGACGGGTCGCCCGCCGGGACACTGAAGTCTCTGTGCTGTCTAACACCCCTCGGCTACAGCTGTGTATGGCACAGAGAGACAATTATCCACAACCACCCTACACACACAGCGGACGCCGGGAGAGAAAGAGCAATTTCCAGTTCAGTGGACGCTCTCCATTTCAGCAGCGCTCAAAGACTGGCTTCAGTGATACAGGGAGAGAGAGAAAGAGAGAGAGAGACTTGGAGTGAATGGGAGTGACAATGTGTATTATGGAGGCTGGATTCATTGGCTCTTGTACTGTAATCTGCTTTGCTGTACACTGCATACATAGGGAGCATCCTGAAATAAAGGGATTTGGAATGCTCTAGTCTAGACAAGTCTCTAAAGTTTATTTATTAATAGATTCTGCACTGTAAAATGCTGGGATCCACAGTTCCTTCATCTTGTCCCAACACAAATTAAGTTAACTAAACAACTAAATTTAAGTGCTTTGAAGATAAAAGATTAAAGTTGTTGCAAAAAAAAAAAAAAAAACGATCAAAGATTTTTTTTGTGTGTGTGTTTTTTGTCATCATTGAATTAAAATGAATAGTATGGAATATGCCACATGAGAAGAAAATGTCTACTTTTATAGTACAGAATACGAATAAATGAATGAATGACTTTTTATTTCAAAATAATGACCTTATAAGGTATAAAAATAAAATATTTTTGTTAAAAAGATGTTTTTGATTTTTAAGTGATCATTTACCTAATAATAAAAAATAAATGGGAAAAAATGTGGCATCGAACACACACACACACACACACACACACACACACACACACACACACACACACACACACACACACACACACACACACATATATATATATATATATATATATATATACACACACATACACGTACACACATTTTTTAATTATATAATTACTAAATATTTTATTATATTGCCATTGTTGTTTTTGTCATTTTTTTCCCTAAAGAATCAGAGTGAATGGAATGGAAGCCATTTACATGAGAATTTTTTATTTTATTTTTTTTCCCAAAATGACTTTAAAGTAAAAAGTTACATCTATAAGAAAATTTGTCAAAATTGTAGGTTTTTGTGAATATATACATACATACATACATACATACATACATACATACATACATACAAATATATTTATACAACAGTTCTGTCTGGTTCTCGAATCTGATTGGCTGATAGCAGTGGGATATTTAACGCACTCCTCCCACCAGTGCCAATATACCATATAGTACTCGTGTGATATTGCTCATATTTGCAGTTGAAGTCAGAATTATTAGCCCCCTTTGATATTTTTTTCTTATTAAATAATTCCCAAATGATGTTTAACAGAGCAAGGAAATTTTCACAGTATGTCTGATAATATTGTTTCTTCTGGAGAAATTCTTAATTGTTTAATTTCGGCTAGAATAAAAGCAGTTTTTAATTTTTTAGGCACCATTTTAAGGTCAATATTATTAGCTCCTTTAAGCTATATATTTTTTCGATAGTCTACAGAACAAACCATCGTTATACAATGACTTGCCTAATTACCCTAACCTGCATAGTTAACCTAATTAACCTAGTTAAGCCTTTAAATGTCACTTTTAGCTGTATAGAAGTGTCTTGAGAAATTCTTAGTCAAATATTATTTATTGTTAACATGGCAAAGATAAAATAAATCAGTTATTAGAAATGAGTTCAGAAATGTGTTGAAAAAATCTCTCTGTTAAACAGAAATTGGGGGAAAAAATAAACAGGAGGCTAATAATTCAGAGGGGCTAATAATTCTGACTTCAACTGTATATCATCATCAAAAAAAACATAGGTATTCCAACCAGTTATGATGTTAGAATGTTGATATTAGGTCACTAGACCGCCCAATATCAGATCACCACAATCTTTTTTCTGAAAAATCTACCTTTAATTTCTTAAGTGCACATTTCCCTATTATTACTAATAAAATAATTTTTAATTTTTGCTTTAACTGTTTTCCTCTTTTTTTGTGGAGAAAGCGGAACACAAAAAAAACTACGTAATGTTTTGTACAAAATAATGTTTAACATAAATCTGAAAAGAAAACAGTCAATCAATAAACATTTAAAATGAAATGAAAAAGATTTTAATTATGAGACAGTCACTAAAAAAGATCAAAATTCTAAGAAAGAGCAAGCATGACATGTCACAATTATGATCAATAAATCTTAAATTTATTGTTAGTTTTCAAGTGCGATTGATAACTGGAACTCTTATTGACTGAGCTTTTTCTTTAACATGATTCCACTGTACTGGGTTAAATATAGTTTATGCAGAGTGAACAGTAATAAGCGTACTGTAGGTCACTTTGACTGCGAACAGAAGGACCGTTTAGCATCTCCTCTTCTGCGATGTAATTAAAATGACTCGAACACTGAGCGCTGGGTTGAGAACGGCCGCTGTAAATATTTGATATGAACTTTAGTCATGAATCTGAGCTGCCACTTGACATTTCCCTGCACTGCAATTATAAATTCTCCCTCAAATAGTGTACTTTAATTACACTTGGGGATGTCATAGTGATGGTCCAGGCTGGCTTGGTGTAGAGCCATAAGCCTGTAGACACCAGCCGCTGTGTCAACATCCAATCAGAGACGAGTATTAATGAGCTAGCGGAAGCAGACTGGACTGGTGAAGATCTGAGCCGCCTTCATACACAGCATTGGTCAGATCATAATCTACTCTCCCTCATGACTTTTGCAGAGTACTAAAGAACATTTTTTGGGGGGGATAAAACATGCTATGCTGGAAAAAAGATTCATTGGATTTACACATTTTTTTAGGGTAAGTGGTTGCAAACAATTTATATGGGCTGAATTTAAAGAAACAAATGAAGTTGAACATTACTAAATGTAATTTGTTTGTTTAAATTCAGCCAATATAAAATGTTTTCAAACACTTACCTTTAGTACAAAATTAGTAAATCCAATTAATCATTTTATTTTCCAGTGTATAAAAGCACATTTATATCATGTGTGACCCTAGACCACAAATGTTATAAAGAAAAGCCTAAAATACATTGTATGAGTCAAAACGACACTAAAAAGACTGCTGGCTTCTACACAATTCCTTTATGTTGGCCCAACACAAATCAATACATTTAACATAATTATTTTTACAAATGTATGGATTGACCACAAAACAATAAAGTTAAAAAAAAAAACTTATGTGAATCGTGTTGTTTGAACTCATTTTAAGTAGTAGTTTGCAATAAGAAGTCATTTTTGAATGTACAGTTTTTAAAAATGTCAAAAATCATTAGAATATTAAATAAAGATAATTTCTCAATTTATTTTCTTACATTTTTTTTGAAGCCTCAGATTGTCAAAAAGGTTTACCTCCAAATTTTGTTCACTTCTAACAAACATTGAGTTGTAATCAGAATTATTAAACCCCCTTCGATTTTTTGTTCTTTGTAAAATATTTTCCAAATGATGATTAGCAGAGCAAAGCAATTTTAACAGTATGTCTGATAATATTTTTTCTTCTGGAGAAAGTCTTATTTGTTTTATTTCGGCTAGAATAAAAGCAGTTTTTAACATTTTTTAAAAGCCATTTTAGTGACAAAATGATTAGTCCTTTTAAGCGTTTTTTTTTTTCTCTCTCGATAGTCTACAGAACAAATCATTGTTATACAATGACTTGCCTAATTACCCTAACCTGCCTAGTTAACCTAATTGTCTTGAGAAATATCTAGTAAAATATTATGTACTGTCATCATGACAAAGATAAAATAAATCAGTTATTAGAAATGACTTATTAAAACTATTATGTTTAGAAATGTGTTGACAAACTTTACACTCATGAACATTTCATTCATGCCGCCATGACAAACTGGGGTATTAGACGCAAATAAGGAGTAAGGTCTGGTGAGAGTGTAATGGAATTTAATACCGCACGCCATATGAGAGAAAAAAAAAGTCAGCATTTCTCTGTAACTTAAATAAAACAATTAACTGTTTAAAAAAAACTGTTTTGAACTAGTCTGATAAGACAGCTGAGAGTACATAGAAACAACTTTGGGTTTTTATAACAGATTGTTTCTTGCGTATGTATATGCATCCAATGGGTCAGTTCTACAGGTCTGAGACCAGCTCATAATTGTCTACAGGTGACTTGACCCAAGCCTCCTTTCGCCATCACTATCTGGATTCAGATATGACCCCGCATTGACGTACATATTTAAAATAGTCTATCTTTGCTTTAACCAACCTGTTACCTGAATCACACTACAGGTCAGGTGTTGAGCGTATAATTGTTATTGATTTGTGATTGTAAGGAGAGCAGCATAGGAACTCATTGCAAGTGTTGAAGCTGGCTTCTGCTGATGAAACTGCAAACTATCTTCAGTAAACTTTATTTATTTATTTGAATCTCTGACTCCGGCTCTTCTTCATCTAACATACTGGTCATTCTTAGGGTTAACACTGTACCCTACAATTGACTTCCATAATAATTGTTTTTTCCTGGATGTCCATGGATACAACATCTTCTCTTGTGTTCGATTGAAGAAAGAAACTCAAAAAGGTTGGAACCATTTGAAAGCGAGTACATTTTTATTTTTGGGTGAACTATCCCTTTAAAGAGCCCATATTATACATGAAATAGGGTCATATCTTGGTTGTAAGGGTCTCCAACAACAGTCTAATATGTATGCAAGGTCAAAAAACACTTTCATGGTCTTATAATCTGCATTTATTTTTACCTAATTATCCCAGCGACTCCTGTATGAATCGTCCAGTGATTCATTTGTTCCCAAACCCCTCCTTAGCGCGAAGCTAATCTGCGCTGATTGGACCAATGACAGCCTGTTGCGATTGGTCGAC